ACAACTCTAATTCATGCAAGGGCTTGGATGCTTGTTTTCTTCATAATTGCGTAGTTGGATACCTTCACAATTGAAGCTTCAACTTCCTCTTTATTACGTGAGCCCCAATGGGTGGATATTTCTAGTGTACAGAGCCCCCCCACAAGAACTTTATTGCAGAACCTCCTTAAGCTCTTTTGTAGTGAAAGCATGCCAACTTGGATAGTAATGCTTTGATGATGAGTCTTAGCAAGTGATGGAGGCATTAAAGCCAGATTTAGTAATGTACCCTTCTAAAATTGCTTGCATAACAACTTGGGTGCTAGCTATAGTTGTTGGGGTGTAACAGTTACAGCAACCTAGGGTTGTAACAACTATAGTAGCATGGGTTGTACCCTTTACAGCAGCTCGAGTATTGTCTCTGGCTGCTATTATGAGTATGTTTTGGGGACAAAAGCTTGAGTTTGGTTGTGGAAACTAGTATAACGACTCGAAAAATTGACTCCTTTCAAAATGGCTAGGTATGCAGATTATTGTTTGATGGTTTGCTTGGGCCAATGCAAATAAAAGAGAAAATCCATTTGCTTGGCATGGATTTGATGAATTAGGATGAAGCCCTCTTGCAGCCTGTATTTGGTAGGAGCCCCCAAGTCATCATTGGAAAGTTTTACGCTTGCTTGCAAGAAGTAGGAGGCAATTAAAGAGAATCCCCCTTGTTCATCTATAATGTTTCAATAATTGCCTCAGTCTCTCCATGTGCCAGATCATCATCAAAGCTTGAGCATGAGCACCTACAGAGTCTTCCAGCGACAAGGCATGGCAGAATTGTATATTGGTATCTCTGCATACCCCTTTTCTTTTTGAAAACATAGGTTGTACTGATCTTTGGTGTGTACCAATTTGTTTTGCTGGGATTGTATTTCTTTTGGATAGTCTAAAGCTCATGTTGTTGGAACCTTGAAACGTGGTATGGTTTTGCATGAACTGTCCGGATTTGGAATGTATTGTGGTAATAAGTTTCAGCTTGTTTTGTACACTTTGTTTGGTTGGAAATGATGAAAATGCGTGACTTGTTGGGTTTTGGAATGCATTGAGATAATGATTTCCAGCTTGTTCTGTACACTTCGCTTGTTTGAAATGCATGAATTGCTTAACAGATTGGATTGTGGTAGGTGCAAGGTACATGCTGCCAAATTTTTATTTTTATTTTTTTAAAGATCACAAAAATGTTTGCCCCATTGCCTCTATGTTTTTTTTTTTTTATTTTATAAAAAAAGATCATGTTTTGCAAAACAAGAAAAGGCAAAAGTAAGGAAAGAATTCTATAGGTTTTTTTTTCTTGTTCCAAAATACTCCATTGCAAATATCATCTTGCACCTTGGCATGCCATAATGGTGGTGCATTCTTCAAAAGTTGTGAAAGCATATGGTGAAAACACAAAAGGAGTTCATCTTTGAAATAAATTTGAAAAGCCAAAAACAAAAGGATAGGTGCAAAAGCAACTCAACAGTAGTAAGGCTTTGAGCCACTTTGCATTGATGAATACTCCAATCAAATCAAGCCCCTAAGTTGAAAGCATAGGGTGAAAACACATAAGGAGTTCATTTTTGAAATAAATTTGAAAAAGCCAAAAGCAAAAGGATATGTGCAAAAGCAACTCAGCAGTAGTAAGGCTTTGAGCCATTTTGCATTGATGAATACTCCAATCAAATCAAGCCCCCTAAGTATGAAAGGGCCAAGGAGTGTGCATGAATAGCATGAAAGCTTGTGGCTTATGTTGGCATGTATTTGACATGTATTGTACTAGGATGCCATGTTTTGCAGAGATATTTAACAGAGCCACAGCTGCTGCTTTACTTGCCTGCGGCTCATAACCCAACTAATCATAGAGTGATTTGCGGCTCATAACTCAGCACACTTTCTTCAACTTCTGTGAGGTTATGAGAGGTTACGGCAGCTGTCTCATGATAATCTTGCTGACCAAATGAAGCCCCCAAGTGGCATTCTTCCAGCATGTCTGATGTGAATACTTCGCTGCTGGAACCATCCTCCTATCTATCAGTAAGTGGTCATGGGGTGTTATGACTTGAAGTTTTTGAATATTTACACCAGTAAGCTTTCTCCATGTTTCCACAAGGCTCCCAAATAGCCTCTGATGGCTGTGGGTCATTCTTCAATGGGTGGCACAATACGTCGTCATCGAGCAAGTCATCAAAGCATGTAATGACAGCAGCCATCTCTTTTCCCCTTTGTTTTGACAAGGGGTCTTCGTCAATAGCTCGCCTCTTAAAGGGTAGCTCAAGAGTTCCATCATGTATCTCGGCGTGCAAGATCTTCCTCACAGTTTGACAAGCGGTTGTCGGATGTCCCACAAACTGGTGATAATGACAGTATCTCAGATCGCCCTTTTCCTCTCTGGTAGGGACTTTGTAGGGCCTGAGGGGTTTGATTGCACTATGAACAAACATTGTATCAAGAATGGCATGGAATTCTTCATCTTTGCACGGCAGTGGCGGGTATGTCTCTCTGTCTTTTCTTTTGCATGAATTGTAGTAACTAGATGATTTTTCATCCTCATCTAATGTTTGGTTGGTGTGCTTCTGGCAGCGGCTCTTCTAGCGATGGTGTTTGGATTTCTACAACAAGCTTGGCTATGTTCTTCTTCCAGCCTCTCTTCTAGCGGTGGTGTTTGAGTTTCTACAACAAGCTTGGCTCTGTTCTTCTTCCAGCCTCTCTTCCAGCGGTGGTGTTTGGGTTTCTACGACAAGCTTGGCTTTGTATCTTCCTCCAGCCACTCTTCCAGCAGTGGTGTTTGAATTTCTATGACATAGATGCATGAGTTGACACATAGACTCTATGAGTTTGGCATGGGGAATCAGAGCTTGGCTTGTGGTGTAGGAGCTAAGTGCCCACAAGTTTAGCATTAGAGAGAGATTTGTCTAATGGTACAAGAACATAAGTCCCATGCTCCTTAAGGCTTGAGGTGTAGAGGAATGTACTCATCGTCCTGGAAGAACAAAGTGCTTGACAGATATATATTTCTGCATGACCAAAGCAGATAGTGGTTAAAATAACATATGTGTTGCAGCTTGCAAATGAATTTAATTAATATTTGTCAAATTTAAATGGATGTCATCCAATGAATGAATCACACATCAATATTAAGACCAACATAGGTAGCTTTCCGTAATACGCAAGCATGGGATGCTTTGGAAATAATTAAAGAATTATGGGATGCTTTGGCAATAATTAAAGAATGTGGTGATGCTCGTGCTTTTGGTAGTGTGTAAATGCCTAGCGTTTGTATTCCTATCAAAGTGAAAGACAAGAAATAAAGGAAGTTGAATAGTCCAACTTTACCATGTTGGTATTGGCCTAAAACATTATATATCTATATATATGTATATATAAAAGAAAGGAAATTTATCAGTGCATGTTTATATTTGAATAGATGACATGCTCGTGCTGTTTTTGCAAGTATAAATGTAATGGCATATGGCATGATAATATATATTTTATTGTGAAATCTAAAAAGCTAGGAAAAAATGAATTTCCTTATCTTTTTTTGTTGGCCTCCAACAGAGAGCATGTGGATTGTGGAACCGACATTGGCATAGAGAGTTGGAGCATCCTACAGGCAGTGCAAAAGAAAGAGACGATGCAAGCAGTGTTCCTGGAAAGGACTCGTTCAATTTTGTAGTTTTTTGCAAGATATGGCTATATTGTTCTAGACTTAGCCAAGTCTCTTCTGTTGGCCAGAGAAGATGGCTTCTCTTTATCAGATGCTTGGCCCATGTCTGGCTTTTTCCTTTTCTTTGAAAAAATTTGCCTGGCACTAAGCCCCCAAGTATTTTGGGGTTTGCATGTGTAGCTTGCTCAATGGCATGAATAATGCATTTGCCAAAGCTTCCAGGGCCTTCTTGCAAGATCTTGTTTTGCTTGAGAATGAAGATCTAACACACAAACAAATGGAGCATGTGAGTAATCCGTATTATGTTTGCTCTGCAAATTAGATAGCCAACAAAAGGGAAAAAAAGAAAGAAAGAGGGAAAGTACTTATCTCTTTATTTTCTCTGGTTTATTGCTTTTGGTCTTCTCCTTTGGAGGCATCGGTTCAGATATTGGCTTAATCCCCAGCAGAGTCGCCAATTTATGTGGGGGTCTTTTTGTTCCAGCAGCCAGACGAATGGGCTTGGGCTGCTGTAAAGGATGAGCAGATGTGTGAAATTGCCCCCTTTGTGTCCGAGTTCGAAGATTAAGCCCCAAAGATGTGTCGAAAGGGTGATGACGCCTTAGGAAACTCTTTGGTTACCTTCACCAATGAAAACAACAACAAATTACAGATAAATTTTCTAGCTTGGCGTGGCATGTCGCTTGGCATGGCATGTCGTTTGGCATGCTTTTAATTATGACGCTTGATAGGATAATTAGCATGGATTTGCAGAGCTAAATGCATCTTTATAATTTTAATCTCAATTTCTAGCATGACAGATTTTTATTTGTCATGGCATGCAGGGTGTGGCTTGTGCATGGCAGACTTTCGTGTACTCCAAATCAGGTCTTTTTCCAATAATATATCGTTTTGGGCTAGGAATTTATTCGGGCCCAACCATGGATTTTTTGGGCCTCAACAAAAGTCTTCATTTGCCTTGGGGCAACCTCGTCACTTCGGTCATACGAGACACTGGGAGCCCATGCCCCCAAGCGATCAAAAACGGCCTTGCTGACCGATCGGCGACCGTACTGCTTGGCGAACTTCTTCGTAGTCGGTTGAGAGGGCTCGGTGGCCTTTCTTTTATTCTCCTGCGACCTTGCTTGATCAATCTCACAACTGCATCGGTCGCACAATACCAGCGCTGGTTCGGGCAACGACTCTTTCCCTCTTGTCGGCTTCTGTACTGACGTCGGCTTCTATACTGACGTCGAGCTCCCTATTCGGTCCGAAACTGGGCATTGACCATATTGATGATAGGTGGAGGAAACAGCTTGGTGTCAACCTTCATGGCAGGTTTTTCCGAGAACTAGAGCTTCTTTTCATATATTAATTTCTGGATAACTTCCCGTAGGACGATACAGTTGTTGGTATTGTGAGACCAAGAATTGTGGTATTTGCAAAACGTCTTCCTTTTGACCTTTTTCTCGGTTAGTAACAAATCGAAGATGGCCTCAGTCTTTGACAAATCAAAAGTGTAGGCCTTCGTTTCTCGGGCCGCAAACTTGGCATCGGGAATCTTCGTCCGGCTATTGTCGGCCTTGACAAGTTCCTTGCAGATGAAAGGTTTGTCTATGCTGACTTCAGCCGAGTTTATCTCAATTTCGCCATCTTCGACCTCGACTGGGCCGTCTGCCTCGGTATAGCCGACGATGGGGTTCTTGTAATAAGTCCGTTTTGAGGCCGTTTTCTTCTGCATTTCCTTCTTCAACAGGGATGCGTATCTGTCCACCTTGCTGATCAGGTCATGCATGTCCCGAAATTCGATCCATTTGAACTTTTTCCGGTATTCGAATTCTAGCCCTTCTTCGGCCATTTTGACGAATTCCCTCTCTGGAAGGTTAGTTCGGCACCAATTCCTGCATGTCTTGAACCGCTGCAGGTAATCGCGAGGCAACTCATCTGACGCTTGGCTCATCCTTGCCAGCTCAGCGACCGTTATCTCTCGATTGGTATGGTAGAAGTGTTCATGGAATATCCTTTCCATGTCAGCCCAGTCCCGCACCAAATTCGGCTGAAGATTTATAAACCATGAGAAAGCTGCACCGGTCAGTGAGTGAACAAACAGTCAAAGCTTTTCGGCATCCAAGTCGGCCTCTCCACACTGGGCTATAAAACGGCCTATATGCTCGATTGACGAGGTCTACCCGTCCCCGGAGAACAACATGAATTCCGGCAACCGATAATTCTGGGGAAGAAGGGTACGGTCTATTTCTGGTGGGTACGGCTTGGTATACCTCGGTGCCTCCGGCCGTCTTTGGGCTAAGCTGTCCTCGATCATACTCCGAACATCTTCGGCCCGAAGACCCTGTGGGGGTGGCTCTAGCTGAGCCTCAAGCGGCTGCTGGACCTGTTGGGCATCGTTATGTAGCCTTACCTGCCAGGCCACTTGAATGAGGGGTTCGGCCGTAGTGACTGAGCCGAACTGCGCTTGGTAGACGTGGGCTTGGCCATGGTATGCATGGTTCACCTGCCGTAATGGTGTGGCCACCTAATTCTGTCGCACCAGACCACTTTGGCAATGAGAACCTAAGTTCGTCTGGGCTCCCGTTGGGATGGTCAAATCATGCTGTAGCTAGGAGCCCAACGGGAATATCGGTCCCTGCAACGGCTGCGCTACGGCCGGACCATTCTGGCCGTACCTCTGTAATGATGCCGCGGTCGTGTTACTTGATCCGGGTTGCATTTGGATGACCAGAGTATGGATCGGGCCGAGTTGTTGGACCGTGGAATGTGCGAGGCTATTTTGCCCTAATAGTACCGCCATTTGGAATTGGCCGCATGGTGTTTCTGCGGGATAAGTCGGACCAGGATTTGCCCATGTCTGCTGGGACTGCCCCCAGCTATTCGTCGGCTGGTGAGGATGTTGTCCATAGCCTGACGCTAGTGTGCGGCCAGAAACGTCGAGGCTGCTGCCCTCACCGTAGGGTTCAACCCTTTCGCGCTCCTGATTTCTTTGTCCGGCTCTGGGGGTGTTGTGGACGAGGAAATCGGCATCCTCTCCTGAAAAAGCGTCCGTAGCTCGGAGGAAAATCTATCCATTGCGGCCATAAAGGATGTTTCTATCCTGTAGGCTTGCTTAGCCATTCGATCTTCCACTAGAGCTTGCTCCTGTATGGACTCGGCCGTGCGAGTCATCGACATTGGAACGCTGGCTGAGATGCTGATCGTCTGCTCGGTCTCGGCGATATTTAACGGTGAGGTCGACTCAGGAGTCTCAGAAGTCATCTCGACTCTTTTATCCTTGAGTTTTGCCTGTGACCTGGTTTCCACCATAAGGTTTTGACAATGTACTTTAAGTTGTCCCACTGAGCGTGCCAAAAAGTGTTGGCGTTAGCGAATCCTACGGCCTGGTGTTCAGGGCCGAGGGGGTCTGCGTCAACACAAGTCGTCCTTCTTCTGGCGCTGTGTGGTTTGTGCGCGGGCGTGCCAGCACAGTTTACCGTGCATTTGGGAATGATGCGGCTGGGTGAATAGATGAGTTGCGCGCCTGTTTAAGTCTAACTTCTAATCAGAGCGATTGTGGCCGAGAGAGGAACTGATCTAGAAGGCCGTTGATGGTGGTGCTGATGGTGGTTTTCGGTGGTGCTCCGGCACGTCACTGGGGGGCGACGGTCGTATGATATATGGGATGAACGAAAGAGTAACAAAGATGGTGCTCCAGCGCCTTGAAAATCAAGGGTCATATGATATATTGATGAATGGATTTTCCTACAAACTGCCACTACTCCTAAGAAAGCAAGTAAATGTATTGAAATGGCATTACAAGAAAGTAAATGACAAGAAGTAAATGACAGGAAAATATAATCTGCTCCGTGGGAGGCTTGTGTTTGGTGTTGAACCCTTTAAATGTAGTTAGAGCTCGCCATTTATAGAGAAGGTCTTAAGGAGACAATGAAGCTGAAAATCTGCATGGTGAGGTTGATCAGAGCTAGTGGGCAGTCGAGTCATGGTGGTGTGACACCCATAAACCCCGGCCACCTTCCTGGTGGTGGGCTCTGCATCTCGGGCCTTGGAGGGGCATTTAATGCCCTGGTTTGATTGTTGGTGGCTTAGCCTTACAAAATCATGGGATTTTCGCACCTAATCCCTGATTTTACTCACCATATTGACTTCAATCACGTCCCTTCTTTCTTGGCTCATTAAATGCTCCTACGTGGATCATGGTCTTTCTGATGTGATCAGAGGCACTACTTCATTAAATGAAGCGTGGGACCATGATGCCACTTGATTTTATTACTTTGGTCGTGCATCTGAGGAGTTTGCCCTCGGCCAGTATTACCGAGGCCGTGACCAAGGCCGTGATGACTTTGCTTCATAACTTACTTTTGTTTTTGACAAAAGGAAGAACGATGACCTGGCCGTGGATAGACGCTAGGGCCGAGCTGTTATTCCTTCGGCCAGCCTCCTTCGGTCAGCTTCCTTGGCCGAGTTTTACTAGGCACAAACAATGACTAGTCAACTGTCAAGAACACAAACCCAGAAAATTCATATATGCAAACCAGAAATTTGTCCACCCAGAAAGCCACCATTGGGAAAAACTGGGGGTCATCAACCGACCAGGCAATCCACTAAGTAGAAAAAGATTCTTACAAAGGAACACAAGCGAGCTCAAGAAAAACCTAGATCTATTTAGGAAGATGATCTATACCTCCTTTGTGCAATCTTCTTCTCCAACTTAGCAAAGCTTCAAGCTCAGTTCTTCATGGCAATGGCAGCTCCTTCTCCATCTCTTTCATCCCATGGCACTAGCTTGCAAGCTCTAACTCAGACTAAAACCAAAATTTGGATTCAACGGAGAATGACCAATTTCTTCAAGAAACCATACTCTTGAAGAAATCAATCTTGAATCTGACCTAGATATATATATGAGAGAGTGTTTGATCTAGCAAGATGAGGTTTTCATATTTCAAATGCAGTTTTCGAAAAATCAATTTGGAAAACTCAAAGATGAAAAATATGAAGGTGGCTCTTGAGGAAGAAGCGATAGTTTCCAAGGAAACTTTCCAAAACTTGCCTACCAAAGTGACGGCTGCCAAATGAGGAATTGATTTGCTTTTTCACCAAAATTCCTAGGTTAGAATCATACAATGGCAGCTCATAGAGGGAATAGAGAATAGGACAAAAAGTTGGTTATCCAGCTGAAAATCCTACAGAGCAAGGATGACTATTCATACAAGAAACAAATGACTAGTCATCATTTTATGAAATCAATTTAATACAATGTGATGCAATGCACAAATACCTTTGTCAATTTGCTTGAACCTCCATAGGATAGTTGTTAGTTAAGAACACCTAGAGAAGCTTTTCTTAATCTAAACTTGAGCTTGATAAAAACAATAAAAATTATATTACAAAATTGTCAAGGGAAGCCAAAAGAAATACTCACAATTCATACATTAACATTTAGTGGCAAAAGGATATACTCAAACAAAGGGCCTCAATTATACGGAGACATTCGCTCTAGTTGCAAAACTTGTCACTGTCAAATGTTTGCTTTCCATTGCCGCTGTTCACGGCTGGTCTCTTCACCAACTAGATGTGCAAAATGCTTTCCTCCACGGTGATTTGGATGAGGAAGTTTATATGCTGCCTCCTCCTGGTTTTCGTCGACAGGGGGCGAATATGGTGTGTCGACTCAACAAGTCCTTGTATGGCCTCAAGCAGGCATCTCGTAATTGGTTCTCTAAATTTTCTACTGCTATTCAGAGTGCTGGTTATACCCAATCAAAGGCAGATTATTCCTTATTTACTCGTGTATGTGGTGAATCATTTACATCAGTATTGATTTATGTTGATGACATGATAATTACAGGAAATGATGACAAAGCCATACAAGACCTTAAAAAGTTCCTTCACACCAGCTTTCGAATCAAGGACTTGGGAAATCTCAAGTATTTTCTTGGAGTGGAAGTTGCCCGTTCAAAGAAAGGCATTTCCATTTCTCAACGAAAATACACACTAGATATTCTTGAAGATGATGGGCTACTTGGTGCAAAACCTGTCAACTTTCCAATAGAACAGAACTTGAAATTGACTCCAACTGACGGTGAATTGCTCAAAACAATATAGGCAACTTGTTGGGCGTCTTATATACCTTACCATCACAAGGCCAGACATTACTTACTCAATGCATTAGTCAATTTATGCAGCAACCAAGGAAGCCGAATCTAGAGGCAGCTCATCGTGTCTTACATTATTTAAAGAAGGCACCATGCCAGGGTATTTTGTTTCCCACACAGAGTTCATTACAGCTGAGGGGTTATTGCGACGTTGATTGGGCTGGGTGTCCTACCGCAAGAAGGTCAGTCACATGTTTTTGCATATTCCTTGGTGATACACCTATATCTTGGAAGAGCAAGAAACAAACCACTGTGTCACGTTCATCAGCACAGGCAGAGTATAGATCCATGGCCTCTATCACTTGCGAGTTGGTATGGTTGAAATATCTTTTGGAAGACTTGCAAATTAAGCATGAACAACCAGCAACCTTATTTTGTGATAACCAAACTGCCTTACACATAGCGGCAAATTCCATATTCCATGAGTGTACAAAACATATTGAGTTAGATTGCCATACAGTGCATGAAAGGATCCAATCAGGTCTTATTGCAACTGCTCATGTACCTTATGCCCATCAAATTGCAGATATATTCACAAAACCTCTTGGGAGTGCACTATTCCATCACCATCTATGCAAGTTAGGAGCTTTGGATATCCATGCTCCAACTTGAGGGGGCGTATTGAGAATCAGCAAATCTCTTTAGTCACATTTAAGTCAAGCCATAATTATAGGATCTGCTCTTATGCAATCTTTCCATTATTCTGATTGTAATCAATTGCAAGACTTTAGGCACAAGTTTAGTTAACTTTACTTGTACAACTTTTCCTTTCTTGTATTTAAGATTTGTATCTGCTTACTAAAATATCAATGAAAACACGAGAAATTTCTCTGCAAGTTCTTCTCTTTTACCAATTTTAACATCA